CAACCACCCTTTCATTTGCTGTCTGGCCCCTGTTGTATGGAGTGCCATAATCCCAAACTCCCCACAAGATCTCCATGTGACACCAGGAGCGCAACTGCTTAAAACACTCTACAGACTTTTCCCCATTTCTTCCATGTGCTCCTTAAGAGAAGCCTGTGGGAATGACACCCACAGTAAGCACTGTCTGAGCCTCCCCGCAAAGATTGTTTGTGTGTGCGTGTATGTTTGTTTGTGTGTGTGTGTGTGTGTGTGTGTGTGTGTGTGTGTGTGTGTGTGTGTGTGTGTGTGTGTGTGGGAGCATGTGCAGACGTACGGGCAGGCGGGTGTGCGTGCGTGCGTGTGCACGGGCGGGCATGCGTGCGGGCGTGGGGGTGGCCCAGGCGTGTGTGCGTGCAGTGCATGCCAGCCTGCCTGGCTGCGCGCGCGTGCGTGCACATGCGCACGCACGCATGCACGCGTGCGTACGTGCGTGTGTGTGTGCGTGCGTGCGTGTGTGTGTGTGTGTGTGTGTGTGTGTGTGTGTGTGTGTGTGTGTGTGTGTGTGTGTGTGTGTGTGCGCGCGCGTGTGTGCATGTGTGTGTTTTGGATTTTCACCACGACAGCCCCTAATCCACCCAGATGAGCAGAACCAAAATCAAAGCAGCTTTACTCCTATTGCAGACAACGAAGCACGCTTGGGTTGAGACATTCCAACAATGAAACAGTTTTACCTCTACAGCAAGTACCATGGAGCACAACAAATCCGTTGAAATGCCTTTGTCAACTATGTTTAGTTCACAGGGTTCTCTATACTCACCGCTGGAGAAGACTACTATAGAATGGCACAAAAGGCCAGTCAATGTTTGGGTTGCAGGGAAATTTGGCCTGCGCAGCAGCCGCTACCTATGGTCGGTGGCCACCGATCCCAACTTCCCGAACCCCATCGACCCCATAAAGTTGGGATCGATGGGGTTAGGCAAGTGCCCATGCAAAGTTGTTCAAGATCTGCGCTGGAGTGAGACCATGCTCAGGGTACTTCAAGAGTTCGTCCATAGTGGCCTTTAGTGCCTACACATTCTTCCATTTCCGATCGGCTATGTTGAGGATTGGATGCTCAATACGTCTAGCCAGGTTCTTGTCCTCAAACCGATTCTTTAAGGCCAGGAATAAATCTTCAATGTGGGTCCGTTGGGAGTGTTCTACCATCGATGTGCACCCTGCCTCTTTCATTAGGGAGAGAGCAAAATTCGCAGCATCTCCCCCGAGGCACGAACTTGCCATCAAGACACGGTCCCAATATGGTATCAACTGTCCGTACAGGTAGGTGCCCATGTGCCCCTCCCACTGATATAAATTTTCTTCCCTTTTTCCGTGATAGGTCCAGGGGATCTTTACCTTCATCTTTCCTCTCTCCTCTCCCCCTTCAGATGATCTTTCTTCCCCCTTTGGATCTCCTTCCTTTTAGGGCCTTTGCCTCCCTTCCCATCACCACCACCATCATCTCCACCTCCATCACCACCTCCTGAATTCATCGTGGCGAGGGCGTCTATTAATTTTAAGGGGAATATTCCTTCCGGTTGTTGCGCATATCCCCCGACGCGCTCATCTATACGGTGAGCAGCAACACTTGAGTAGTTATTCCAAGTGCCCTTGAACTCATGATTGTGCTGTTCGAGTCGGGCGACAGACTTGTTTATGGCGGCGAGTTCCTGGTTAGTGTGCAGCAAGGCATTAATCCTGACGGTACTGTCGTCCTTCCACTCTCCCTCACAGCCTTTCTGTTCCTTCAGCTGGTGTTCAATCTCTTCTCCCTCAGCTTTCAACCTCCTCTTCTCATCCAGCTCCACACCTTTTTCTTATCAGGAGCCGCAGGAGACAAACATTCTTGTATATTGATAATAATATTGCAGGCGACATCTTCAAGTGTTGATTGTATCTCGATTTGGCTTCTCACGTTTGAACTCTCATGTGAATGTTCATTGATGTATGCGAGGTTGACCTTGACGAGTACTTGGCTCACTTCACTAGGTCCTGAATGGGACAGAAATAGCACACAATTACAGCCAGTTCTTTGCCTGCTCATCTTCCGCCGCCCTCTTTATATGCGGCTAGACTTTCCTGCAATTGCCTGTTCAACTTGATGCTGGTGAAGAAGAGTGATCATCACTAGGTCCTTAGACTTTCCTGCAATGGCCTTTTCAGCTTGATGCTTGTGGCCCTGGACCCGCTTTCCAGCAGGTGCTGCTCCCCACTAATAGATGGAGCCTTCCCGAGAGTGCTAGTGGTGCCCTGCTCTTATCAGCACCCCTCACATTCACTCGGGTTGTTAAAAAAAACAAGTCAACCCACCGCGGCGATGCCGCGGCACAGGAATGAGAGGGGGGGCAGAGAGGACGGTGGACGAGAGGAAGAAAGAACGGATGACCAACTGAGAAAGCATAGGGTGGATAGAGAAGGGGATGCAAAGAGTAATGAACACACAGAAAGAGAATGGCGAACTCCATCCACTTCATCGTTTTTCCCTCCCTTCCATAATTTCTTTTTTTTTTCTCACCCTTGTTGTCTTCTTTGTTCCATCTTTTGCTGTCCCTTTGCATTATCATGCTGCCTCTTGCATGTCATCATTTCATCGCCACCTGATCCTTCTTTCCTCCCCTCGCTTCCAAGTGATAATTCATCGGTTTTCTGTAGGAAAAACAAAGAGAAAAAAAATGCTCTGTTCGACATCTAGGTCATCTTTCGTTTTTCAGCCCGATTGCGTCTCCTCTTCCGTCTCTTTGCTCTCTCTCCTTCCTCTGTTGCATGCCGTTCCCCAATCCCTTCCACGTTATCATCCCTCCCGCACCTGATGTTTCCCTCCGCCGCTCTGTTCCACGTTATCATTCGTCCATTTTCCATCGTCCTTCCCCCTCCTGCACGTCGTTCCCTGGGTATTGTTGCCCTTTCGCCGTTATCATCCCTCGTTTTCGACGAGATCATATCCCCGCCACCTGATCCTTCCTTCCTTCAAAGAGTGTTCAGAGTGCATGAGAGCATCCTCTATTTTCAAAAAGAAAACAAAAAAAAAATTGTACAGGAAATTCAAAAACGACGAAGTAAGGCAAGCGGAACGTTCGACCCATGATTCACAATCTAGAATCTACCGTTCGAAAAATGAAAAAAAAAGAAACACAAAGCATGGAACACTGCCCTTCCACGTCATCTTTGTTCTGTTACCCTGGTCGTCTCGCTTCCTCCATCCCTTTTCTCTCCCTCATTTACACGTCCTATCCTCACCCACCCACGTTCGCCATCCATCCCATGTCTGGGCAAACAATAGTCCCACACGCGCATCATGATCGCCTTCTCCCTTACCGCCGTCCTATCCTCCCATGAATCCCTTCCCCCCCCCTCCCCCCCCCCCCCAACACACACACACACACACACA